GGGACATCACAACACAGGGACATCAGAGGGAACACAACACAGGGACAACACAGGGACAACACAGGGACATCACAGGGACAACACTGGACATCAGAGGGACACATCAGAGGGACAACAGACATCAGGACAACACAGGACATCATAGGGACACAGAGGGACAACGCAGGACAACACAGGACATCAGAGGGACAACAAAGGGACAACACAGGGACATCAGAGGGACAACACAAGGACAACACAGGGACATAAGAGGACAACAGGACAACACAGGACATCAGGGACGACACGGGACAAAACAGGGACAATCAGAGGGACAAGGGACAAAGGGACAACACAGGGACATCAGAGGACAACAGAACACACAAGGACAACAACAGGGACATCAGAGGGACCATCACAAGGGACAACACATCAAGGACTGGGACAACACAGGGGACATCGAGGGACAAACAGGGACAACAGGACACACAACAACACAGACAACACAGGGACATCACAGGGACAACACAACAGGACATAGAGGACAACACAGGACACACACAAGGGACATCAGGAGGGACACACACAAGAGGGACAACACAGGGACATAAGGGAGGGACAACACAAGGACAACACAGGGACAACACAGGGACATCAGAGGGACACAGGGACGGGACAAACACAGGGACACAGGGACATCAGAGGGACAACACACACAGACAGACAACACAGGGGACACTGGGACAACCAGGGACAACCAGGGACACACAGGGACACAACACAGGGACAACACAACAACACAGGGACAACAGAGGGACAACACAGGGACAACACTAGAACATCACAGGGATGACACTGGGACAACACAGGGACATCAGAGGGACAACACAACACAGGGACAACACAGGGACATCAGAGGGACAACACAGGGACACACACACATCAGAGGGACAACACAGGGACAACACTAGAACATCACAGGGATGACACTGGGACACCACAGGGACAACACAGGGACAACATTGGGACATCACAAGGACGACACTGGGACAACACAGGGACAACACTGAGACATCACAGAGACAACACTGGGACCTCACAGGGACAACACTGGGGCAACACTGGGACATCACAAGGACATCAGTGGGACAACACAGGGACAACATTGGGACATCACACGGACAACACAGGGACAAAACAGGGACGACACTGGAACAACACAGAGACAACACAGGGACATCAGAGGGACAACACAGGGACATCAGAGGGACAACAAATGGACAACACAGGGACATCAGAGGGACAACACAGGGACAACACTAGAACATCACAGGGATGACACTGGGACAACACAGGGACAACACAGGGACAACATTGGGACATCACAAGGACGACACTTTGACAACACAGGGACAACACTGGGACATCACAGGGACATTAGAGGGACAACATAGGGACATCAGAGGGACAACACAGGGACAACACAAGGACAACACAGGGACATCAGAGGGACAACACAGGGACATCATAGGGACAACACAGGGACATCAGAGGGACAACGCAGGGACAACACAGGGACATCAGAGGGACAACAAAGGGACAATACAGGGACATAAGAGGGACAACACAAGGACAACACAGGGACATCAGAGGGACAACACAAGGACAACACAGGGACATCAGAGGGACAACACAGGGACATCAGAGGGACAACACAAGGACAACACAGGGACATCAGAGGGACAACAAAGGGACAACACAGGGACATCAGAGGGACAACACAGGGACATCAGAGGGACAACACAGGGACATCACAGGGACAACACAGGGACAACACAGGGACATCATAGGGACATCAGAGGGACAACGCAGGGACAACACAGGGACATCAGAGGTACAACAAAGGGACAACACAGGGACATCAGAGGGACAACACAAGGACAACACAGGGACATCAGAGGGACATCAAAGGGACAACACAGGGACATCAGAGGGACAACACAAGGGACAACACAGGGACATCAGAGGGACAACACAAGGACAACACAGGGACAAAACAGGGACAACACAAGGACAACACAGGGACATCAGAGGGACATCAGAGGGACAACAAAGGGACAACACAGGAACATCAGAGGGACAACACAAGGACAACACAGGGACATCAGAGGGACAACACAGGGACAACACTAGAACATCACAGGGATGACACTGGGACAACACAAGGACAACACAGGGACATCAGAGGGACAACACAAGGACAACACAGGGACATCAGAGGGACGACACAGGGACAACACTTTCAGATGCTTTCAGACACTTTCAGACTTTTTGAGATGCTTTCAGATGCTTTCAGACACTTTCAGATGCTTTCAGATGCTTTCAGACACTTTCAGACACTTTCAGACTTTTTCAGACTTTTTCAGACACTTTCAGACACTTTTAGACTCTTTGAGATGCTTTCAGACACTTTCAGACACTTTTAGACTCTTTGAGACGCTTTCAGACACTTTCAGATGCTTTCAGACGCTTTCAGACACTTTCAGACACTTTCAGACACTTTCAGACTTTTTGAGATGCTTTCAGATGCTTTTAGACACTTTCAGATGCTTTCAGATGCTTTTAGACACTTTCAGATGCTTTCAGATGCTTTCAGACACTTTCAGACACTTTCAGACTCTTTTAGACTCTTTCAGAGGCTTTCAGACACTTTCAGACACTTTCAGACTCTTTCAGACTTTTTCAGACACTTTCAGACACTTTTAGACTCTTTGAGATGCTTTCAGACACTTTCAGACTCTTTCAGACTCTTTTAGACTCTTTCAGAGGCTTTCAGACACTTTCAGACTCTTTTAGACTCTTTCAGAGGCTTTCAGACACTTTCAGACACTTTCAGACTCTTTTAGACTCTTTCAGAGGCTTTCAGACACTTTCAGACACTTTCAGACACTTTCAGACTCTTTCAGACTTTTTCAGACACTTTCAGACACTTTTAGACTCTTTGAGATGCTTTCAGACACTTTCAGACACTTTTAGACTCTTTGAGACGCTTTCAGACACTTTCAGATGCTTTCAGACGCTTTCAGACACTTTCAGACACTTTCAGACACTTTCAGACTTTTTGAGATGCTTTCAGATGCTTTCAGACACTTTCAGATGCTTTCAGATGCTTTCAGACACTTTCAGACACTTTCAGACTTTTTGAGATGCTTTCAGACGCTTTCAGACACTTTCAGACACTTTCAGACTCTTTTAGACTCTTTCAGAGGCTTTCAGACACTTTCAGACACTTTCAGACTCTTTCAGACTTTTTCAGACACTTTCAGA